AAATTTTTTTATTTTTTAAATTCATAAAAAATCCAAAACGGAAAAAAGGCAAGTCGTATTACTTTCACGCAAAGTCACATAACCTTTAAGCAAAATGAGACATAGATCATGAAAATCGATGGACGCGTTTCGCTTTTATTCACAATTAAGTGAAGGTATCTCATTTTGACAAGAATATTGATTTTATGTTTCAATGAATTTGGATAATATTTATTATATATTTTACGTGACACTTTTTTCCGTTTTGGATCATATAAATCATGAAATATATAAATTTTTTAAACAAAACTTTCCCCGAAAAAAACAAGTAATTTTTTAGCATAAAGAAATCAACCGACTTCAGCGAGCAAATAAAAAATTTGGAGTACCGTTAGTCTGAACTAAATAAAAATTAAACAGTTTTTCTTGGTCAAATATTTAAAGTAAACTTTTTTCTTATCGCGAATTCCATGTAAACAAATATTTTCAAAAATTATAAAGCAGAACAAAAACAATTTTTTTATTTTTATTTTGCCTATTAATCAGGGGAAGCTTTTATTCACATGGAATTGGCGAAAAGCAGGTTGTGAGAATCGGATAATCCATCTTATTTCTAATCACAAGGTTTTGACACTAATGCCGTATATACACGGGACATTGAATAGCAAAAATTTTAAGGATAAATTTCGTAAAAAAAAAACACATTTTTTTTTTTGTAATTACAATATCCATTGGAATTTTGCCGTTACTCTTGCCGAAAAAGCTTACGAGGTCGAGCTTACCACTCATTTGAAATGGTTTCGCTTCCAGTTATTTTTAAATTAAAAATTTCGCACGTAAATTTTATTTGCCATTACATAAAAAATTACGCGCTTTTTCACATTTCACCACGAAATAATAACTTCTATAGTTTCAAGCTATTTCACAGTAAAAAGATACGAAATGGCGGCCAACATAAACTTTCTCGCTATTTTTCTTTAAAACATTTCAACCCGTTTGCATGTGTGCGTGCATTTGAAAGCGACAACGAAAAACAAAATATTTCAACAATTATTTTACGCTTTCAAATCAATTAAAAACATTCGTGACAAATGTTTTAATTTCGCGCTACCTACATGCATACATACAAATGTATGTAGATATAAATGTACAATATAAAAAATGCTGTGTGTAGAGAGTAAGTGTATGTATATGATATATGAGTTTAAGAAAAAATATTTCCATGTATGTATATTCATATGTGGTTTATCATTTCTTTACGCACTTTTCCGCAATTTATATACTCCACAGCCGTTTCTCTAAAGAAAAAATACACGAAGTCGCCTTGTGTAAAAGAGCTAACAAAATTTGGCGCTGCAAAAGGAGAGAGAAAGAGAGTGAAAAAATTTATAACAATTTGTGAATGAATAATGCATGAGTTTATGTATGAGAAAAATGTATGTATTAATGTAAAAGATTTATGAAATATTGTTAATATAAATACATATATACAAACTGAAATGCATTTAATTAAAAGTTAACAGTTTAATATACAACACATTTTGTTGAAAGTAGCAGTGGATGTTGGGAGATTTTTGTTTAAAAAAATTTATTATGGATTTTTTGTAAGCTAATTTTTCTAGTATAAGATAATTTTGTTAGGGTATATATAAGGGATGGAAAATCAAATCTTCAAATTGTACTTTATTTGAGGAAAAACTTTTACCTAAAAGCTCACAAATGTACCTAAAAAAAATAATATGTACAATATACATTTTGTAACACATTCAAATCACGTAAAATCTGTTTAGCAGTACGAACATACGACGGGAATCATCCATGTTAGTTTTAAAAAGTAAAAAAGTAAAATTTACCGATTTTAAGTACAATTTCAACATCGAAAATACTTTTTGTACCAAACGCTCAAATCTCTGCCAGCACTTTCATTCTTAATACGTTTGAATTTATATGAAAGGTCATATGAATGTACCTGTATTTCGTATTTGGTACAAAACGAAGTTTTGAATGTAAACGTGAATGTTAATGGTAATATTAGTGATGCGCGTTATGGTGATTTCGATTTTTTTTTTATCGCCGGCGGGTGAAATATCTCTCACCGTTATTTAAAGCAAATTCACATTATCGTATTTTACGGTCCATGATTTATAAGCAAAATTTGCTAAAATTCCGGTTATTTCGCCTTGTAAAATCTTTTAGTAAATTAAAGATAAATTAGATAATTTATCATAAATCAAGTGGAGAAAAACCTTAAAGTACAGACCGGCTAAGTATTGCATGGAGCTCGGTGTATGCTTGAAGAATGTAGAAATTTCTCCCGATAAAACGTGATTGGAACCGCAAATTATATTGTCGTGGTTATAACTTCAAAAAAAAAAAACGAATTAAATCGGGTCTACTTATATTATTCACATGATTGCGTATAAATATCATTAATTGAAGGACTACTTTAAAATAAATACAATGAGTAGATGTTTCGAATTTCGATAATTTTTTTTACTCAAAGAAACAATTTGTGTCTTGGAGTATGAAAAAGCATCTGTGAAGTGCAGAATGCAAACGTTTTCAAAAAAAAAAAAAAACATACTGGCTTGGAAGTTGTTTAAACGCAATTCATTTTAAAGTAGCTGAAATTAAATACGGAGTTGGACAGTCGACTTGCTGCTTACACACAATTCAAACTGAAAATTTACATGTCTGGCTGTAGCTGAGCGTGCAAAGATGTTTGCTACAATTGGTTGCGGCCATGAGTGTCCATGTTCAAATCTCATTAGGCGAAACATTTAATTTTAAATTTTCTTAAATTCGAATTTTCTTAATTATGAAAAAGCATCTGTGAAGTGCAAATTCAAACGATTAACCTTAAAGTTGTTTAATCCAAATGCATTTTAAATTAGTTGAAAATACATGCAGGAAAAGGTAATTGACTGATACCTAGGACATTGCCATGTTAAATAAATGAGTTCGTTGCAGGTAAAATAGTGAGAATTTCAATTAGTTATCATTGAAAATAAAGTAGTTGATAAATTACTTTCAAATTAATTAAGTTTCCTGCAGGGAAACGGAAACTAATTCGCTGCTAGCGTCGCAACAGTTCGCTAGCTGCGCACACACGACTTGTATGTGAAAGCCGAGTAGCTCCCAGAGACTTCCGTGTGCACCGCTGACATACATACATACATAGCTCATGCTGTTGGTTTAAAGGTCAATCTTTGGGGATAGTGATGACACAACTTTGAAACTTTACTTTCTTTCTTTGGAGGATATAGAACTGAATATGACTCACATTCCATGAAAATGGTGGAAGAGCCTTGGAGTAGACGTCTCATTGAAAGACATCAATAGAGATTGAGTGCAAAACAGTAGATCTGTGGGGCATGCGAGAAAACTCTCTTTGAAAGCTAAAGTAAGAGTACATAAAGAAGGAAATACTAATACACACTTGTCTATAATGTTCTGCTAAATCCTTTGATACTTCGAACAAATTTTCACTGAACTGCGGATCCTAAGTACGACTAAATGGTTCATCTGTGAATTATGATAAAGGAGTATTATAATATGCCAAAAAATTATTAGGAAAATTCTAAGCTTAATCGTAAAATAATTGCACTTTTTTTTATCAAACCCCGAACTATCATTACCAAAGTAAAAATTAAATTTGTTGGGTTCTTGCCCGATGCCTAGGCGTTCTTTCGGAGAAAAATTTTACAAATTTAAAATTTTGTTTTGGCTCTATATTCAGGCATGGAATGTAAATGAACGTTGGACGTTACGAAGCAAACAAAATCAAAATATTATACTTTGTATTTTAGTTAAAAAACAAAAAAAAAAAACAGTCGAAAAGGCTTTAATTTACAGAGTTGATGGGCGTGGTGTTTTCGTTTAAACTCAATTTGCCAATCCTTTTACTGATGCCAGAAAAGGACTAGATTAAACCAACAAAAGCATACCATTGATTCCATTGAATTCAACTGCTCTGGTCATTTGCATTTCCTTTAGTTTTATGTATGACAGATCGCCTGCAAAGTCCTGGATTCGTGAAGCCCTCCATTTATGAACTTTTTGCAGTTGAAGGTGCGCCTGCTTCACCAGTTCTCGCTCTGTTATGGTTCTAATTATCCTTTAAATTTTTAAAAAGGTTTTAAGTGCAATTTTAATAACTTTTCTATACACATAAGGAGGCCATGCCTTCTTGTGCCTATACAAGTGCATCAAAATAATAAGCATAATTTTTGCGTAGTTTGATAAAAAGTAGAATCAAGTCCAAATTAATTAGCACGTTTTCTTAATTGTCACCACTTTTCATCGAAATTAATCATTCTTTAAAATGAGATCAAAAAGAAATCTTTCTGATGCCCACAAGTCCAGGTATAAAGCTTAGATCTTGATGAAAATATGTGTACCTATTCAAGTGAATCGGGCTGTATTATAATTAAGATATGCAACGATTGATGGAATTGGGAAGCCAATATAGACTATTCAACTGCTTTGAACATTATTTTTACTTGCTCAAGCTCATAGCAAATAGTAAATATGATTAAAGGCATGAAATTGACACATAAATAGCTATAAAGGACTAAGTAAGCTTATATACGCATGTATGCATAAATAGATGTGTGTATGATAACACCGTGCGACAAAAACCAAAAAATTTAAAATACTCGAAACAATCAATATAGATGCGAAACTATCGGCCGGATATAGTGAAACTGCGTTTTCTAGTTTTTCTCTCTGGCGTCAGGATTTTTTTTAAAGTACTTTCAAATTTCAAAAATATGATTGATTTAAAAAATAATTAAAAAAAAAAACCAGTGCAATATAGAATAATAATATAGGTATAAAATGAAAGATAAAATTCTGTAGAATTAAAAAAATTAAGATTTTTGGCAAACAAGGACGCATAGGTATTGAAGATGTAATTTTGATTAATTAAATTTTTTTAAGCTAATAAAAGTAGATGGGCGAAATTCGAGGCTGTGGTCGTGTGTATATTAGTCCTTAAAATAACATTTTTCTAAAACACATATTGGAAATTTTCAAGGATATTCACGGATAAAATTTTTATAGGGCTTTTTCACTACCTATCTATTCGTTCTTCTGAACCCAAAAATTTAAACTTTTTTAATTCTATAGAGAAAGTAGTTTTACTATTTTTGGCTTCTAGTTTTGAGCATAAATTTATTTTTGTGTGTGTAAAATTGTTGCAAGGTGTCATATTGAGTACATATATAAATCCTTACGTAAGTAGTCAACTATTCAGTCATTCAGCCAGTAAGTCAGTCAGTAAGGCAGTTAGCCGTAAATATGTAGCTCAGAACCTAGCATAGGCACTGCCATCCTATCATTCACCCCCGCTCTTTCTTATTACCAAAAATAGTACAACCCACAGAAAAGCCAACCAACAATTGGCCAACATCACTGCTACCGCAACCGTAATGCAATTACGATTTGCTATAAACAACAACAAAATGAATACAAAGTTTCATTGTCCAGCAGTAAACTTACCATTGAGGCTTAGGCTGTCGTATTGCTCCGTCTGTAGAGGCTCACGATAGATAATCGGATCACTGCCGCTGAAATCGGCCACAGTGCCAGAGTATAGCTCGTTATCTGTAATAAAAGAAAATGGAAGAGAGAGAAATTGGGTATGAGTGGATGTGAGTGCACTAAATATTGTATAAATAAATAAGCAGAACGCGGTGAAATAAACGATTTGAGCGATGAGTGGATAGCGTCGTAATGATATACTCAGCGGCCGTGGGGGAATATAAAGATGGAATTAGTGTAGAGCAAAAACACGAATAAAGAGAATATAAAATGAAAAAAAATAACACCAAAAGCAAAGAAAATACAAGAAAAACACTTCAATGGCCAACACAAAAAAAAAAAAAATAAAAAAAAACACAATTTAAATAGTGGCAGTAACGAGAGGATTTGCAGGACATGCAAATAATGCACAACAAGCGGATTGGGAGGGAAGGCATAAAAATATAATCGAAATTATAGCAATAGGATACAGATGGAACAGGACTACAAAATGGTAATGGTTAAAAAAACACGCTTGAATGCACTTGCAGCTTCAAGTGAAGGAGCATTGATTGCATTTACCTACTACATACATTGTAGTTGGCAACGAAATGTGGCAAGCGGAGCATTACCATAAGGCAAAGTAAATCGATTTTGATTTTGTGTGCGAAATGGCAAACAAAGTAGATTAATATTATCACATTGTAATTTCTTTCGATGGAGCAAAGCTAAAAGCAAAACATTGATTTTGCTAGTTAATAAAAAAATATTTATTGTATTTAAGCTGAGGGCGGGGGTATTTAGTGCGAGTAACGTAGCATAACTTCCATGTTTATTTCTTGCTGGGATTACGCTTGACACACTGGATTTATTATTTATCAAGCTCCTTCAGAAAAAAAAACACTTCAAGATTTTATTCATGATTTTAGATTGAATGGAAGTATTAAGCGGATTTTGTAGTAAACTTGAGTAGGCTTGAAAATGCGGTAAAGACTTTCGGTTACTGGACACAATATCGCATATGTAGAGCGATAAACTTAAGAAGCCACAATTGTAGGCAGCGAGTTATTGAGGCATAAATATTCGTAGTCAAAATAAAGTCGTCCCTACAGTTAGTTGCAACTTTTTGACTTAATTTTCAATGAAAGATGTGTAAAAAAAAATGCTGCACCTAACTCTAGAGTTGACTTTATTTCGATATTAAATATGCAATATCCTTTTCGTAAGTTCTAAAGCTTTAAATACTTTTTGAGCGCTTAGAGAGACTTGATTATCTTATCAACATAGTGGCGCAGATTCTACATCGTTTTCAACTAACAAGGCAGTTCTGGCAACTGTCTTTCAACTCACAAATGTCTTTCGTAAGACAATTGTAAATTCTGGCAGCTATCTTCAAAGCTTTTTATTATCTTTCGAAAGCTCTTTATTAGTTTCGAGGAGGTCTTAGCGTTATGCTAAAGGCCTTCTAGCAACTAGTTTTTTTTTTTAAATTAAATTAAATTATATATACATTTTTCTTATTAAAACCAAAAAACTTATTTTATTTAAAATTAAATAAAAAATAATTAAAAAGAAACTAAAGCAAAAATAAACAAAATATTTTTAAAAATAAATGTAATTTAATAATAATTGGAAAAATATATTAAATCAAAAAGAGAAAATATCTAATACTTAAAGGCTAAAAAATAAATAATAAAAAAAATATTTTTATTTTCAAAACAAAATCTAAAAATTAAAAAAAAAAATTAATGAAGAGGCAAAAAATTAAATAATATCCTAAAAATTAAATGAAATAAGAAGATATATGTTGTTTATAAAAAAGTAAAATCTAAAAATTAAATGGAAAAAAAATAAATAAAATAATGTTTTACAATTAAATAAAATGTAAAATATTATTATTTTTTTTTAAGTACAAAATCTAAAATTTAAAGAAAATGAAACTAAAAGGAAAAATTAAATAAGTTCTTTAAAATTAAATTAAATTAAGAAACAAATTAAATTAAATTAAAAGGGGAAATGCAAAAATAAGTTCATAAAAATTAATATTAATATTTATATAAAAAATTTAAATATTAAAAAAGAATTATTAAAAAAGAAAATAATGTTAATTATAAAACAAATTGGATTAAAGCAAGTAATTTTTAAGCAAAAAACAAAACCCACTTCAATTATCCTATAAAATTTTAAGACAAACCATATATACATCACTTTCCGATAGGACTGACAGTTTATGACAAATTAATAAATCATCCAGTTTTTTTTTATTTTTTAATGAAAAAATTAAAAAAATCAAAATTAAACACAAGACAAATTTAAAAAATTTAAATTTTTGCATTTGTGCTAAAGCCAGTTCTGTTATAAAAAAAATCAAGTTACTAATGAAGACAAGCGATGGATATATAAAGATGTAGTGCGTGGTCAAATGAAAATGCGCAAACATTTTTTGTATGAAATATGAGCAGAAATGAGTGTTAGTCAGGTGAACGTGGCGTATGAGTAACTTTCTTTCCCGCTCATTTTTCATACAAAAAATCTTTGCATATTTTCATTTTATTTATCCCTCTCTTTCTTCATTTGTAACTTAATTTTTTTTTAGAACAGAACAGGCACAAATGCACAAATTTGGCGCAGAACCTGTTATTTTTTAAATTTGATCCTGTTAAAGTTTGGTTTTTTAAATTTTTGTATAAAAAAATAAAAAAAATTCAAATAATTTATTAATTTGTCTGAAACTATCTAGTCGTATCGGAAAGTGATGTATAAATTTTATTAACTTTGATTTGACGTATCTCATTTTAAGATGGTTAAATTTTGTTTTAAGCTGAATAACGGTAAATTGCATATATCTCGAAAACGTATCCATAGAAAAAAAATATTATCTCGATTTTCGGAATCACCGAGCCTACATAGAAATTGGATAGTGGCATCCATTGAACATATTTGCTGTAAACCAATGTAATCTACAATGCCAAATTTCCAGGACATACAGGATGTACTTTTTCCATTAATTAATTTCGATGTCCTAGGCAGAAATCTCCTATTATCCTATTAAAAATTTAAATATGCAAATTTACTATAAATGTGTTGAAATATGGGAAACATATCGAATTTTTTGCAATGGACGATTTGGTAGCCTTAATTTAAGTTATTAACTAAAACTTCAGCTAAAAGTCGGCACGGGTTATCGTCATCGTACGGCCATAAAACTTCATAAACATATATGTTATTATGGCTAAAAAGCACAAATATAGAGGGTATGCTATCAAAATTTGCAAACGAATTATTTGCCATATTATCTTGGCACAGACTTTATAGTTTTCGAAAATTTTAAGAAACTATAATTCTATTGCCTACTTATTTAAAACTGGCATAACAAAGGACATTTCCAGTTACTTAATGTCCGTATTTAGGAATATTAAAATGTGTCACAAAGAAAATTTTGTTATACATACTACAAGCGCTTGTAAATAGGCAACATTGTGAAGAATATTCATTGAATATTATACATTTTTTGGTAGTGAAATAAAAATACCTTTGCTCTTGTAGCAATTGTGCAAAACCACTTAATTGACATTTTGCCATTTCCTCTTCATACCATAACATGCTATCAGTTGACTTCAATACTTGCGCGCCACAATCACTTAGAATACACTGTCGCTATCACTGGCGCTATGGCTGTCTCACCAATGCTCATTGACAATCCAATGCTCAGCATTGAAGAGAGATGCTTCCTTTCATGCTTTTCACTTCACTTCCAGTCAATGCAATGCAACGCAATTCAATTCAATTCAAAGCAATTCAATTTTGGAGCATATTGGCATTCTTCATTGCATTAGTTGCTCTAAACTTACATACATACATACATACATACATACAAAACGATTCTATTAAAAATCGCAATGACATGAAAGCGAACACAAAAAAAAACCGAAAATAAATAAAAGACTGACTGCCTAGTTGGCAGTAAAAGAGTAAGATAGCAGCGCAAGGACGAGGTGACATTTATATCTGATATGCTATAAGTTGACATTTGTAACTGCATAAAATCATTTGTAACTATTGAGTATGAAAATCACACGGAATTCATGCACACGCACACACACGCATACTAACATACAGCAGCCACGTAAAAGCTTTCATACGAAACTTCATTTATTCACTTCACACAAACTTGAAGAGTCATAGTACAAAGCAAAATTCCAACTGATAACTGATTGTAGGTATGCAGAAATGTATTTACATGTATGTATACATATGTATTCGTATGAAAGTAAATATGTATGAAAGCGCATGCCAGAGCACATGTACATAAGTAAATGGCAAAAGCATTAAACATGCGTGCGATTCGTTGTGTGAAAAGAAATCCTTGAAGATGCTTGCATGGAGCGGCTTAAAATACTATACATACATATAAAGTGTGCCAGTCTATTGAAATGCAGGCACACACACATACAACATGTACATATGTATATGAGTGTATGTGTATGCTTAAGTGCATAAATATTTCTTACATTTCCCTATGATCTATGAAGTAATGGAGTAATGCTGCCATGTGTGTAGCCGTACGAGTATGAATACGCGCCAATGAAGTGAGAGGGCCGAGCAGGCGGGGGAAAACAGATACTTTTAGCAAAATTCGCATTTTACGACGCACTTTATTTTCGACAAATGCCAAATTCTCAAAATTTAATTAAGCAAAAGGCGAACTTTTCAAGGATTTCTTTATCTTTTTTTTTTTCTTGCTGCTACACAGCAGGCAAGGAAGGGGAGCTCATAGGTATCTACATACTTCTGCATATGCATATGAAAATCTAATGTATATAGTAAATCCTTACATACATATACATACATACATATTGAATATATGAAAACCGTGACGTTGGCATACCATGAAAGCGAATGAAAATGAAGATGGACGTTGGTAATGCGGTTGACGGTCGCAGGGTAGAGTTGCTCCTGCATACATACATACATACATACATACATACAGGGGGAGGTATGCAAGTGAAGGCAGGAGAATTGGCTAAAAGTTTCGAAACCTTTTGAATTTAACTTTCACAAAAGCAAAGTGACTTCTTAGTTGC